CCCCCAGAAGGATGGCTGTGGGAGGGAAGGAGCCGAAGCTCACCCAGGGAGTATTATCCCAAATCACTTCCCCAGTCCCGCACAGCCCGCGGCACCGTGCGCTCCTCTCCTTCTGCGGCCATTCAAGTGGCTGCTGTGCCATGCAAAGGGTTCTTTGGAGCTTCGTCACATGAATGACTAATAGAACATCTCGGCGCATTTACGTTCTCAAACCAAAAGCCCGAGTCATGGCAAACCCCTGGAGCGCCGGGCGCGGGGACGCAGCGGTGGCTTTGCCGCTGCCGCGGCACGAGCCCTGGGTGCGGACGTCTGCCGTCGGGACGGCACGCGTGGCCCCGGCACAGCCCCGGGAGCAGACGCATTCACGGTCCTCTCTGAAGGTCCTTCCTCCGCAGGGTCAGCAATTGCTAATGACATTTGCAGGGAAAGAAAGCATTTTGCTGGGCTCTTCCGCTTTTGCATACTGTTTTGCTCTCAGGCATCATGTTCCCGTGTTTGCGATACAGGCATCTCCACAGCAACAAGTCACACGCAGGGCTATGACTTCAGCCGGGGAACATGCAGAAAGCGTTGATGAGCTGTCAAGCAGCAAAGATGTTGTTCCAGCACGGGTGCAAGAGGCAGACAGCGACGCTGCGCTTGGTCTCTGGCTGTCCTCCTCCTGGTGAGCCCCCGCTGGAGGTAATTGAGGCTCAAGAGAGAAGAAAACCCTTCCGAAGGCACTTGTTATTTTCATATCTGCAGAATAAGGCCTAAGACCGACCTCAGGCTTTGGACAACTCTTTAGGAGTAATAATAATAAGAAAGGAAAAAAGCTAGGCAGAAAGCCTTGTCATCTGACCTACCACCATAAATCTCTGTAAGCAGTCTGCTGTTGATGACACTTCAGCTCCATGCGAAAGAAACACAGCAAAGCGAATAACAGTCTGAGCAAAAATGTGCCAACAAGTTCATCTTTAATCAGTAATTAACAAACAGTTTTACTCATTCATCAGAGTGTGAAGACTTCCCCAGCTGTGTATCTGACACTGCAGGGAAAACGTACCGGCCCTGTTCTAAACATTTTGTAAGCCCATGTATTACTATCACATTAAAGTGAATTACCTGAAGAGCCAAGAAGAGGTGATGTTTGCTAACACGCTATGCCCAGCAGTGCAAGAACTGGATGACAAATGAGAAAATCCCTTTGTCGTTTTAGCTGTGATTTTTCAGACCAGAACAGGACCCCTTTCCAGGGATGCCTCCGTGCCAACAGAGACCTCGAGGGCGTGTTGGACTCCTGTGCAGGCAGCTGACACCCATGGAAAATGTTATCTGTTATATCTCTGTGGCTGCAATTTCTGGGTACCTTTCACCCTCATTGGAGGTTTTACTCTGACCAGGCTGCTGAACCTCTGAAAAGCCCTGATGACTGACCAGCGTGCCTGTGCTTTGCCTGGAAAAAGGCTTCTGGATGGGAAAAGTGGAGCTCCCTCATGCATGGTATCCATATCCTTGCAAAAATGCACCAAATTCTACCCTAGGAATAGGTATTTCTTAGAAGACTGTTCCAAGATCTTAGTAAAAATAAATCAGCTTATTTACATTCTGCAGTTTATGTGTATTTTTTTTATTTATTAGCAATAGAAATCAAGACTCAAGATTTGGATCTTTGCAACATGCTGGATGTGGCTTTACATTTGAATTCTCCATTTGGGAAAGATTGCCGATTACCAAAAGGGAAGAAGTACTTTTTGCTGGAGAAGGTAAGTCCATTTTTCCTACTCTGTTTACTACGTTAATTACATCAGTTGATTGAACTAACAATGCAAACCCCAGAAGCGAAAGATTTTACTCTTGCAACTGACGAAAATAAGGTTTGCCCTGTGCCTCGCAGGGCATGCAGTAACACAGAACGTGCTCTTATGCTACATCGTCCCGGTAGATTTGGGGTAGCTGCGATGCTTTTGAAGAGATAAGAAAAACAAGATTTTAAATGGGATAGTTCTTTGATTAAAAAGCCTTACGTTGCTGAAAAATTGCATAAACCCATTCAGGTGCACCAGGCCATTTTCAACTCTCTCAGTTGCTTACATGTGTCTGGTGGCTCAAGGACAGCAATAATGCTTACAAGGCTTTTATCTTGTGAGAAGCACTTTGCCGGTTGAATATACGTCCCGAGATTGCACACACGCTGCCTTCTAGCGTTGGCCTGAAGCACCCCTGCCTTCACAGGGTGCCGGTGTACGCGGCGCGGGCACCGGCACCCTCGCCCGTGGGCACCCGCCGCGTGCCGGCAGAGCTCGCCGCTTCGCCGCGCGCGTTGCGAAACCTCGCCCCGCGACGACGCGCGGCGGATAGCGCTGCCGCGTGAAAAGCAGCACGCGGCGGCCGGCAGCACCCCGAAGGGCAGGGAGGCTGGCGCGCCGCGAGTCGCTTCTTTCTAACCGAGATGTGCGATTAGAGGAGCCCGGTGGGTCGGAATATAGAAATTGTTTATCTCCGCGGGGCTGCCGTGTGCGGGACAGACGGCGTTTCTCCCCATGGCTCCTTAGCGGTGCCTTCTCTCTCCCTGGCTCCCCCTGCCAGCCCTGTTCCCGCGCTTGTCTTCAACAGCTTGCATATTTTACACCAGTAATTTTGAATTATAAAATATAACCTACACAGTGTAGATTTCCTTAATCTTTTTCACTGTAAAACCTAGGAACATGTATGAAGTTTGTGGGCTTAGACTTCATCCTCCCAAACAAGCAGTAGCTGTATAAATACATAATTTAAAAATCCGCTGCTTAGTAGATGTCTGTAGTATGAATTCCCTTAAATAGTTAATGCATTTTAATGTACTACATATGAAAGAGCAATTAACACTTAAAGACTAAACGTGTTCCTCGCTGCAGTTGCTGCAGTTTAAGGCCTTGCACGTGATAACGGCAGTATCTGATCTCATCCAGCGGCATGCCTCAGCTTAAACAATCCTAACACAATTTAACAGTGTCCATACCAGGGGTTTTGCCAACCCAGTTAAATCACTTTCTAACAGAACAAGAGCTGTCTTTACAGGCGGGTGTCCGTGTCCTGCCCTGCCCCGGCCAGGAGAAGAGCCTGACAGCGTCTGGGTGCAGCGCGGGACGACGTCGCTCCTGACACACACCCGTGAACCACAGCTGCCCTGCAAAACACCTCTCTGTGAGTCATTAACAAACATTTCCTAGGGTTGGCTGTGTGAAGGTGTGTTTTGTTAATAGCTGTTGTTTGGGCTTTAACGTGGAAAAAGCCTGGTTTGTAAGTCGTGTCCTAATTTGCAGGTATAAAGGTGACACATGCTGTTGTACAAGGTGCCGAAGTATCAAACCTGGAGCATCCTGCTGCCTGAAAAACAGCTCTTGGTGCTTCATCCTGTAGGAATTAGTAGTTAAGTGTCTCCACCTGCAAAACAAACGTAAGCATAGTACAGTAAATATATTGTGCTAAACGTTCAACCTATTTCTGTTATTTCCCAGCAACAGATCCTCGAGAGGCGCTGTCTGCAATGCTCTGCTCTTTGAAAGAGTCAAGCCAGCAGCAAGAGCTTAAAATCCTTCAGACAAGGGGGACCTTGGGGGCTGCTGCCGAGGGAGAGGCGTGAGGGTCAGCGCTGCCCCAACGCTCCCACGGCGAGAAGCCTTCCCTCCAGCCGGCCCGCGGTGCAGAAGGCTGGCAGCGGTTACAAAAGGGAGCCCGGACACAGGTGCGACTTCTCCTGTCCCTGGCGTGCGGGGCTGGCAAGGGGCAACTGCCCAGCACCGCTCCTGCCTGTCCCTGCCGCCTTCTGCCTCCCCGCCTCGGGCTTCAGCGGTGCCCGTGTAAATGGCCGGGTCTGGAGAGACTCCGTTTCACTAAAGGGCAGCTCCTGCAGCGACCTCGGCGAGGGAGCCGTGCAGATGAAGATGCGTCCTCCCCGGTCCCTGCCGCAGCTGCCTCTGGTGCCAGCGCTGCGCCGTGCTGGGGCCGAGCAGCGGGGCTGTGCGCCGCTCTGCCAGCGCACGGGCTCTGGGTTGGCAGGTACGTGCCACGAGATGGGCCGAGTAACTCTCGCGCAGCTCTTCTGTCAACGCACGCGACATCCCGTAGGGCGAGGTGGGGAACCCTTGTGCACCAAAGCACGACAGTAGTAGAGGGGTGGAAAGAAATACCAAGAAATCCTGCCCGTCGTTACTGCTAGTGTTGACTGCGGCATCCCTCTGCGGCGGTTTCCAGGCTGCTTTTCCCTGCAGGCTGCACCTCCAGCGCACCCTGGAAGCACTTCTTGGGAAAACAGGCGGCTTTGCAAGCCCAGGTCTCACGCACCCACGCCCTGCCAGCGCGCAGCCCTCCGGTACCGCGTGCGGAAAGGGGCTTAAACAAGCCGAGAGGCAGCCAGACAGCGTTTCCGCTGCAGCGGTGCCCGCGCTGCTGCTCCCCAGCTGCCACCCACGCAGCCCTCCTGCCCGCTGCAATACCCACTGCAGGCAGCCGGCTCCTGCCGAGGCGCTGCCCCGGCCTGGGAGCCGCTCTGCCGATTTACGAAGGCCGGCGGTGAGCGGCGAAGCTGCGGGGGATGATGCGTTTCCCTCCCTGGGTCGAGCAAGGGACGTTTCTAGCAAGATCCGCAGCGCGGGGCGAGCTCTCGCTCGGCGGGGCTTTGGGCGGAAGGGATGTTGCTCGTGCGGGAAGCCCGGAGATGGCAGTGGCGGCAGCAGAAATAACAAAAAATGGGTCTAAAGGTCTCTGGTCGGCGAAGCCGGCCGTGCTGCGGGCGCTGCCAGCCCTGTGCCGGCAGCGGCGGCGCCGGCCGGGCGGCCGTTATCTGCGGCTCGCAGCAGGAAGGGAGCCCCGGGGACACCGCCCCAACCATCGCCCCATTTCCAGGGACCGCGGCGATGGCCTTGTCAGGGGGGCTGGGCCCGTCACCCCCCCCCACCAGATGCCAACGGGCAGATTAACGGGTCGCAGCGGAGACGTCCTCAACCGGTGCGTTTCAAAAGGCGCCTTTGCGCCCGAGACGCGAGCTTCCCCGGCAGTGAGCCACGCTGCAACTCAAGATGTGGCCACAATGCAAAAGTACTTCCCCTTGCGTCTCTTTTTTTTATTAGCCTGAAACTAATTTTTGCTTCTTTAAGGAAATAAATATATATGCAAACCATAGCCTGTTGCCGTGGTTACTGCTGTATGCTACTGCAAATAGCTTATTTCACATCCTTAGCCCTATAGGGTTTGGAAAGCGTGATTCTTCTGGCCTTTCACCGTTTCCCCCCTCGCTAGGCCACCATCCTGCTGTTGCAAAAAAAGCATGTTGTAATAACCCCTGCGCGCTGCCGGAGGAGGCGGTGGCTGCGCTGCCAGAGCGCTGCAGCACGCTCCGACGCACCCCGCGCCAGAGACCCCCCAGGTAAGAATTGTGCTTTTTACCCCACTTTGTGGCCCTTGCCGGCCGTGGAAATTTGCAACAGAATAGCGTACAGTTGTTTAGTGGGTTACGGTAAGTTGTTCAGAAAGCTAAACTGTTTTATTACGTCTGCATTTCATTGCGCCTACTTTGGCATACAGGTCTGGCGATCTTGAGATAAGTTAGGGACGATTCAAATAACACGTTAAAGAAATGAGCGCTAAATGTAAGATGCTGTTATGCAAAGTTTAAGTAACAAAACCCTGCAGTTCTGAAGCGTATTAGAAGTAGCAGTCAGATTTCAAAGCAGAGCCTTCGTGGCGCTTGCCGGGGGCACAGCGGGACCCCCATGGTGTGGAGCTCCTCCGGGACACCGAGCGAGCACCGACCCGCTCCCAGGAACACGTGGGACAGACCCGGCGCGGGAGGTGGCCCCCGCGGCGCCGGCGGGTCCATCTTTCTCTTTTCTCCTGGTTTTACTATCATTTTGTCAGTTAATCTCCTGTGCTGCTTACTCCGCTGGAAAAGTTGAGAGAAAGATTTTCACGTGCTTGCAAGAGCCCCATGGGTTGGTTGAACGGTTTGTTCTGTGCTGTTGGTGGAGCGGAGACAGGGCTGGATGCCTGCGCCGAGGCACCACCGCCATAGCTGTGCCGCGATTTGGGTGCGTTTCTCAACGGGGGCCGAGCGCTGCTCCCCCCACACGGGGTCCCCCCCCAGCCCTGGGCGAGGCGGGTGGGTGCCCGTCCCCGGAGCATCGCTCCCCGGCCCCGCTCCGGCTCCCTGGGAGCCGTTGGTAAAGCCCACAAGAAATTAAACTGACATTACTCCGCTGAGAGTGAGCCCTCGGCTTCCTGCCGCGACATACGCTGCTGACAGCGAACGTCCCGCCGGTTTTCTGTGATTAAACACGGTGTTGGGTCGCCGGCAGGGCCCGCCTGGAGCGAGCACCCGTGCTGCCCCCCGTAGAGGTTAGAGTGGACCCCAGCACTGCCGGCTGGGCTCCAGCACAAACTGAAGAGCAATAAGGAAATCATCTTACAGAAAGTGCAAAAGATGTAGCATATATAATAATTATTTGCTGCGAAATTAGCCGTGTGGATTTTGCTCATTTATGTGCTTGTAGACTAGTAGAGATTTTGAGTATTTTATCACTTTTAACAAAAATATTATCACTTAATAGTTGCAGGAGGCTTTAAAATAAAAGGACGATACAGCGGAAGGGCCAAGTCTGAAATTTGTACGTTATCTTTACTAAAATGCACATACAAATAATATCATTAAAACAGGAAAAAAAAAATCTTTTAGCACTGTAGTGTGAAAGTGATGGCCTCCATGTTGCTGTGAAGCAGAAGCGGAAGTTCGTTACTGCAGAAGTTGCACCGTGCTAGAAGAGATGTAACGATTGCTTTCTTTATCAGGAAGACTGAACTTTAATGTCAGACCTTTTTGGGGAACTTGAATTTTGTGAGTGCTGAACAAATAAGAGCATAACGAAGCTAACAGCTTCTCCAGGATCGTGATTGTGTTTGGTCTGTGTTTGAACTAACTTGCATATCTGCCTTTAATAAAGGCCAGGAGAAAAGGAAAAGTAGAGTACCAGGTTTTTTTGGTGACTATTGGATTGCAGCTATTTGGTACGATAAAATGAAGCCACAAGCCATACTTCAAGCTAGATGGATTTGCACTGTGATTTCTACTTATCTGTTTAAGACAGGGGTACGGCAGCACCCCGTACCCCTCGCGGGCGGGAGTTCTGCGGTCGGTCTGCAGCGAAGAGCAGCCCGGTGCTGCTGCCGTCAGCGTGCGGATCTCTTAATGTAGTTACCCTTTAAGTGCTCTGTTACTGCACATACTAAGGAGAGAAGCTTTGCTTTCGGGTGCACAGCTGGAAGTGCCTGTGCAGCTGGGCTCTTAACTGACTTTCTTTTGTGCTTTTTCTTTAGCAAAAGATTCCCGTTTGATTTGCGATCTTACTCAAGCAGGAGTTGGGGTTTGAAGTGAAGCGCTGGTGCAAGTTGAGCTGGAGGCTTTGGTCCTCACCGGCTGCCTGCGCATGGGTTTGTGCACCTCCAGTCATCTATGCCTGACCGCCTATAGGCACCGGGCCCCTATAGGGACCCTGAGGCTGCGTGGGGGGGCAGCAGGCTGCCAGGGTGGCTGCTTTTGTGGAGTAACGATTGAAAGATGGTTGCTGAGTTGGTGCTTAAAGTAGCCGTGGTTCCTGCATCACAGGTTACCTTCCTCTGTCCATACTGAATGTCTGAAGAAACCAGTCTCTGAAGGAGGGCTAGAAATGATCTACAAGGCATCCATAATACAAGTTTCTTAATTCTGCAGGCTTACGTCATCTCTCAGAGTATTTATCACATTTGTAGTGACAAAGAGAAAATGTAAATATATTTTCACTTTATGTCCCTAATGCCATGCCTGTTACAGCGTGCCCTATCGCTCAGTCTTCCGTTTAAACTTTTACCTTCAGATCATGTTGAAGTAGGACCTGAAGTGGGAAGTGCTTTTATTCTGCCTGAGGCACAGTTGTGCAGAGGATGCCCAGAGCCATCCTCATGTAGGGCACCCAGGACACGTTGGTGTCCCACTGCTGTGCTTGTGGGCTTCTGCCAGCCTTGGCTGGGTCATCACTGGCCCTGCAGCCTTCCTCGCCGGGGTTTCGGAGGGAAGGGCAAGCAACCATTGCACAATTTTCAGAGGTCAGGCTCTTGCTTCACTTGTGGCAGGCCTGCATTAGCTCAGCCAAGAGAGTTCCTCTTTTTTGCTCCAGTTGTAATAACACATAGTGACTCTAAAGCATAAAATGTCTCTCAAAATACTTTCTCTGTACACAACAGGTCTCCCTTTTCCCTTGTCTCCTAATTTACGTCTTTTTGTTTGAATGACATAAGAAGCTAAGTGTACAATGACATATTTCTTTATCCTCCTCTGCTGGAAGATAATTAGTCCATTGTCTTGATTGGTATCCCAGATGGTGATCATTATCATTATCGGATGATAATCTGGGAGACCCCTGGATCTGAGACTTCCTTACGCTTTCCTCTTTACCATGCCCTGCCCGGACATCTTGTTACTGCAGAGCTTGCGCTTGGCGTATGTGCTCTAGGGTTTAATCCCCTGTAACCTACATAAACCTACATGAAACAGAACACATTCACCTTATAGGATATAGTGAGAAAGGACATCACAGGCGCACAGGGCATAAACCCAACGATAAGGCAAACCAGAGCTGTACCGTGTCAGAGAAGGGATGTGTTTGAGCGGGGTTCCCAGCAGGATCAGCACCAGAACCGCCAGGCAGTGGCCGCTCCCCGGCAGGGCTGGGACCAGAGGCTGGCAGGGCTGCTGCCGTTGCGGGCAGCAAGTACCAAACCCAGCAGGCGGATCGCCGCGTGCTGTCACCTGAAAATGGACTCGACGGGAAAATGAAACTAAAAAAATCGAATTACCAGCACAACCAAATAATGGCTGTGGAGCTGGGCCCTTTAGACCGGGGGTGGAGGGGGCTGGGCAGGGAGCTGCCATTCCAGCTGTGCAGCTGTGAGCATCTCAGTGTCCACGTCCCCGCTCTGCTGCCGCTGCCGAGGCAGGACAAGGAGGCACAGTTTAGACACCAGTTATTTTTTAAAGCTAGCCCTGGGTATAGAAAAGATCATTTGTGCGGACACTGGTCTACTGAATTTATTTAAGAGAAATCTGGGCAGTGAGGAGTTTGTACAGAAAACTTTGCGACCGGAACAACTGCTTTGAAAATGCCCAGCGTACTGATGTAAGTGTACAGAGAGGAAACAGCCTCACGTATTTCTTTGTGATAGAACAGAAACAGGAAGAGCAACAATGATCCATTACAATATTCCTTCCCAGAGACTATCAAGGCGTGTGCAAGCAATGCTGAAGTTATCCGAGTGGTACATCTGTACCGCTGCTGCTTTATAGAATGACAGGCAAACTCATGTAAGTCAGGCAAATATAAAAATACCATGGGATACCAATTGTAATGAATTTTTTACTGATCTGGATTAACCTTCTTTGAAACACAAGTGTAAATTCATGGCATTTTTTCCTGAAAGAAAAATGAGTGTTTCTTTACATCCTTTCAGTCTCCAGCTCCTATAAAAAGGCCAAAAAAGATAAACAGAAAATATCAGAAAGCTCTCCCAGTCGGTGACGTGCCTTCACTTCCTCAGGCACTCAGCACTCCAGGATGCTCCCCGAGGCTGCTCCGTCTGGGCAGCTCCCGAGGAGGGATGCTCAGGGCATCCCGTGTCTCTCCACGGGCTCAGAAGTGCTGTGCGGTCTGTTGCAGGGTGTGATTAGAGCACACAAAAAGAAAAGTTAATTATATTAATGCTAGGCTGTATAACAGAACAAAAAGCCTTAAGATGGAAACAGCTGGAGTTCTTGAGCAGGTAATATTATTTGTCTCCCAAGGTAAAGTGAGGAATTATTCATTAAAGCTGAAAAGCACTTTATCACCTCATTTCACAAAACATAACTCTTTGCTTGGTTCAGCCCCGAGTACGGATCAAGGAAAAAGGCAAATTTAAAGGCAAATTTCTTCTAGTCTCCAAGCCTAATAAATTCCAAAGCAAACAGCAAAGTGGTTTGGCTTATTCCGTTATGGATTGAAGGATGTGGTGGATGTAATTCTGAGCGATCATTTGAAATTTCAGAAGTCAGCAGAAGCTCAGTATCTATAAATGAATAAAAGTAGCATTCAATTGCAGTGGAGATGCCACTTTAGGACTGATTTTTTTCATTTGTAAGGTAAAAAATAAACGTATTCTGGAACAACTGGGTATGAGTAACAAGTGATGCTCAGAATTATAAACACACATTACAAGATTTGGGGGAAGAGACAAGCATGAGAGGGAGAAGATGGAAAGACAAAGTTCTAGCATAACTACAACCCCCAGTGTCTTTGGTAGAAGAAATAAAGTTGGAACAAGGTGTCTGTGTTGATAGAGATGTTTAACACAAGCAAGTTACAC